GACTGTGGCCAGGTTGAGGAGGGTCGCAGAGGGAGCAGGAAGAAGCAGATTGCTTGTAACAACCTAGGGGTGCAGCTAAAATGTCACCAGCCACCTCCAACCATTCACCATGACAATATTTTCACCATTTTCCCAAATCCGGTTTTTCATGAAAAGATTCCCTTCTCTCTTCATCTCTCTCCATCTTGCCCTCACTGACAAAATTGCTCTCCTTTGGAAACAAATAGCTCTGTTTCTCCTTTAGAAAACCTCTTATCTCCTTAACAACTCTGGTTGGTGCTTGGAACACGCCTTACATTACTGACCAGGAGCCCAGGAGAGCAGAGCAATGAATGGAAGGGCTCCCCAGCTGAACACACGGGCGGGCGGCGCTGGGCAGGCGGGCCAGAAACCCTCCCAGTGCCTGGAGCGGGAGGGAGTGGGTGACAGCTGAGTCTCTGGCGTGACCGCCCTCTCCTTCCTCGGAGCCTCTTGCTTGGGAGCCGAAAACATTTCATTGCAATCCTCTCACAGCTGCTGTGGGCTGGGGGTTGACACGGTGGCGTCTGAAGAGCCTGACGGGGACGTTCTGCTCTTCTGGGACTTGCTGCTGGGATTGCAGGCTCTGGGGCTGACTCATCCAACGAAGGCTGGGTGCAAGCCAAGGAGCAACAGAAAGACTCTCGGTCACACACGCTGCCCTTGGCCCTGCCAGCTCAGCCTGGGGGCTGGCCAGGGCTCGCTGGCAGGCGGAGCATGACCCAGGGAGTCAAGACCTTTTTGCAATTATGAGGCTTTTTCTCAACTGGGGCAAGAACACATTCCCCTCCCAAGGAGTAATCACAAAGCAAATTGTTCCTGCCTCTCTTCAAAGGCCAGTGAGGTTAGGAAACGGCTCCTTCCTTCTCCAGAAAGCTTAAAAACAAAGGCAGGTATGTCTGCTCCAGCCAGCTCTGGTGCGAGTTGCCACCCCCATTATCTTACCTGGAACTCTCCTGAGCCCCCAGGCCAGGCTGCTGGGGTGGGTCCCTCCCTGCTCTGCTCCCTCCTTTATGTGCTGACCCCCAAAGACACCCATGGGATCTTTTCCTAAGAAAGGTTTTACTGGCAATTACTATGATAAAAACCAGAAGGGACAATAAAAATACCCCAGGAATATGACAATGTCTTGGACACTTTTGCAAAGATCTTACGGTTACTGACTTTTAGCTTAGGTACCAACCTGTACCCCTCCAGGTCCCTTCCAGGCCTCCTGCTAGCTCATAGTGTCACACAGGCTCTTCTGGCTGGTTCCTCCTTCTTCCAGAACCTTCTATCAAGGGCTGAAGCTTTGTCCAAGCCCCTACTCTAGCCTTCTCACCCATAAGCCTAAAGGGACAGCTCTCCCATCTCATGAAAAAGACATTCCATCATGTTCTTGCTGTGCTAGAAAGTCAAGAGGAGAAACCCATTCATCTCTGAACTCTAAACTGAAACCAAATAGTCAACTACCGAAGTCTAAACCACAAAGTGCCTAGAAACCCAGACTGTTAACACTGGAAATGGCCTAAATGAACATTCAATCTACCTTCCTCACTTTGCAGATAGGAAATGAGATTCCAAGAGAGCATCTCAGCTTAACACAAATTTCTGGCTGTTCTTTAAAGAACACACCCCTCCCATGCCTACATATTTGCTGAAATTATCAAACCTAACTAGAAAGAGGGGAACATTCACAAAACAGGATGCAATTTTCCCTCAGTTTCCTGAGGGTGTCCTCCTAGGGCAGGTGGCTGGAAACCCTGCATGATGGGGCCCTTCTGGCCTCTCCTTGGACCTGTCCCCTTCACCAAGTGCAGCCCCAGAGGCCCCCTCTCGGGCCCTCCTTCACACCCAGCTCTTCTGGCCCCCACACCTGGACTGCTGTCCCCTTTTACCAGGGCTACCATCTCTTCCTTCAGTCTCTGTTTAGTTCTCCCATTCTAGAAGCACTTTCCCTGATCACTCTACCCCACACCCCACCCCACAAACACACAGACCCAAGTTCTCTATCTTGGCAACAACTGGTTTCTTCTTCGCACTTGACACACTTGTCATGATTCTGTCTCTTTGCTTCCAGCTTGAGCTCTGCCTCCCCCGATAACCTGAGAGCTGCCCAGGACTGGGATAGTGCTGTCACAGTCACTGCTGTGCCCATGGCTGGCACAAGGAGGGTGTTCTGTAAACATGGGGAATGTGTGCATGAAGGAGATGAAGTCACAGAGGCAGGACACGGACTTTAAATACTCACGACTTTATTAGGAACAGGCTGCCAGCTCCTACGTATACACAGTATACACGGCCCAGCCAGTACCAAGGTCCTTCTGTCCTTCTGCAATGCATTGGATGCAAAAGAACCAAACACAAAGCAGGGAGGGCTCTGTCAGTGACAGTGTCTAGTGCCTTGAGAGCCGACTCCCAGGCTGGGGACACTCGGGTCCCTCAAACTGTCCTTGGCTCCTTCCAGTCCCCCACTTCAGCATGATGAGGCCCACAAGAGAGTGTTCGGGTCGGATTCCTCCAAATCAGTGCACACGATGAATAAAGGAGGCCAGGGAATCGTGAGCCCAGAGCCTTATTGGTCCACATCCCACTGAAGAAGTGGCTGGAGCCCCCAGAATGGTCCTCTTCCTCCACAGACATGAGCTACCACCTTAAATTTTATTCCATCACCAAAACCTGTGCTTTGAGTCTCATCTCTGCTCAGCCCTGGAGAGCACGGTTGGATTTACAAAATGTTCAAAGACAAGACAAACTTCCCAAGCTGTCTTGGTCATACTTCTTTTAAAAAGGAAAAAAGAGAGAGAAAAAAACTCCACAACAGAAAAGAGCATTGAGACCTGGCTTGTGTCAGGAATGAGAGTGGCTGTCCCTCCTTGAAATGATTTATAAAGTGACTGATAACAAAAGCCGCTCTGCTAAGGGGCCAATTACCCACTGAGGGTACCTCCCTTCCCACCCACCCCTTTCCCCCCTGCCCGTTCTGCAGAGCCCCCAGGACACCCCCTCCTGGCCTAGGAGGGGGTGCACCAAGCACAGGGTGCAGCTCTGCCACTGGCAGGCCAAGCTCCCCTTCTGCCTGATGCCCTGGGGCCCTTTTGTCCCTGTGGTCCCACAGTGTTCACTGGTGCCGAGAGGGACTCCTCCTCACCCTTCACGGTGACTGCAGCCCTGTCTCAGAGAGCTGCACGCACCCTGCCCCGTGCGGAGCTCTGTCCCAGGGCCCCAGTCGGGGTTTGATCGGCATGAGAACAGCATCCCAGAGGCTTGTCTGGCTGACTGGTTAGTGCGTGGATTTGGACTATTAGGAAAAACTGCATTAAAGGACTGAACCTCTCTCCCCAGGGAGGACACGTGCTTCGATCTTCTCTCAATGAAGTTCTCCACTGGTCCTGGGCTCATGTACACACTGAGGCATCTGCACTTTCAAGAAATACCCTGTTTGGCCAAAGGATTTCTAACCCCAATGTATCTCCCCATATAGAGCTGTAGGAAGCACTAGGGTTTCTACTCCCCTGACATGTCTACAAGACAGGCAGGTCTCCAGCAGTTCCTCCCGGTGGCCACCCAGGACCCCTGGGTCAGGTCATTGATTCTCGATGCCTCCTGAAACCTGCTCCCAAGGAACCTGAAGAGAGAGATCCTGTCTTCACGTGTGGAGCTCCAGCAGGCCGCCGGGCTGTGGGGGTCAGGAAGATACACACCACACGCTTACCCCTGTGGCTGGGTAGCTCAGTCTACAAAGACAACAGCTGGGCACAGTGGAAGCACCAGGTCACCACTGTCCCAGGGAAGGGACAGGGATGGGTTCCCAGAGAGCACAATCTGAGGTAGCAAATAGTGAGCCCCATTTCCCAGCTGGAGAAGCGAAGGTCAGACATGCAACATGACGTGCCCAAGGCAGACAGCAGTAGCTGTAGGCATGAAGACTAATTTGTGGCACGTAGGTGTTTGGCACCTAGCCCTCCAGGAATGTCCCATTCCCCTCTTCCTGGAAACAGGACTGTGGGCACTTTGGAGGTCCTCGGGTGATGCAAAGCCCACGGTGTCAACCTTATCTGTACACACCTCTCTGAAGGAAGAAGCCATTGACACGGGAGCCTCCTCCTCCCCATCCCAGGGTGACATCCCCCCAAAGCCAGGCCCAGAGCTCAGCACTCACTCACCCCAGCCCCAGTGACAGCAGAACCCTCTAGATCTCTCCTCAGAATCCATCGCCCCTTACAAGTGTCAGCATGTTTTGGTAGCGGCCAGCTGCTCTTGAGGAAGAGGGCAGGTCCCGACTGACTTTCTCTCTCCACCTGCAAAGCTTCAGGGGACACCGAAGTGACAGCCCTACCACTAGCCTGACTCCCTGGACATCAGAGGGTTCTTTAAGGAGTGTCAAGAGCAGAAGATGAAAAACCTCAGAACTTCACCTCTTCCCAAATGGAGTGGCCAGAGCTCCAGAGGCATCTAATCTCCCACTCGCCTCAGCTGCCACCCAGCCCTGGCCAGTTTTTACTGTGCAGTCCATGTCAGTCGGAAAAGGAAAGTGGGCTGACAGCACCATGAAAACCCTGCCTTGTTCAGAGACGGCTCAGAGCCACTGGGGCCACCTGAGGGTGCCAAGCTGCTGGGCCATGGCTCTTCCAGCAGCCTGTGGCCTCCCTTACGGGGGGCCGAGGTCCCTGAAGTTCTGCATGGGAGGCACCCGTCCTCCAGGTCCCCTGGAAACTGGGCCTCAGCACCTCTGCCCTGCACCCGCACCTCACAGCATCTGCCCACAACAGGGCCCCCGAGGAGCGGGGCATGAGGTAGACTGTGTGTTAGTTAGCTTCCCCCTGCCCAGTCCAGCGGGGAGAAGGGCACCTCTCACCCCGGCCCATGGTTCATGTCCCTGAATGTGGGTGACATCATGGTGCAGGCCCCTGGCCACTGCCCTCTGCCCACTGCTCCAGTTGGCCAGAACACCACACACTAGTGGGGTGGAGAGTTGGGGGGGGAGAAAGGGACAACCACACTCAGCAAGGCCGCAAGATGCAGAAGTCCAGCTCCTGGGGTTTGCGGTGCAAGCTGCATTGGTCCCGGGCCAGCAGCCGGCCTCCATGGCCCACGCACTTGAGTGGACGCCTCTTAAATCCCCGGCCACAGCTCTTGGAGCAGGGCGACCAGGCACCAATCTCCCAGGTTGGGCAGGGCTCCCCACAGGCCTGTGTCTCCACCGGCCGATGGGCTGCATCACAGGCAGACACCACACGCTGCCCCAGGGAGCCCTGGCAGTCCACTGATCGCTTCTGCAGGCCACTGCCACAGCTGGCAGAGCAAGGCCCCCAGCTGCCCGCCACCCAGCGTGCAGGAGGCCTGTCGTCTGGCTGTTCCACCTGATTGGAGAGGCTGAGGACGCTGTTGTGCAGCACCGAGGGGCCCCGGGGGTCCTTAGGGTGGGAGGACTTGTCCTCCCGAGGCTCTTTGGGCAGATAGAAGGAGTAGCGGACCCGGGGTGGCGTCATCTTCCCCACGGAGAGGACCTCCACAGTCAGGGGCTCCTGGATGGGCCGGGAAGCCTGCAGGCTCTCCACCGCCGTGCCCGTGCCACTGTACCGCAGCAGGCTGCCCTTCACCACCAGGTCCCGCTCCACAGCCGACACCACAAAGTGCCCGTTGAGCAGGTACTTGCCTTGGCTGTTCTTCAGAGCCAAGTAGTTGTCATCCCCAACCAGCCCCTTGTAGCCGCGCTGGCGGATGTCAATGCTTGAGGCACCTGCAGGGATGGCCACCACGAAATTGTAGCCGTGCCTGGGGTGAGAAAGGGGGATTGTGCATAAGAAAGATGCCTGGACGAAAAGATCTCATTCCCCTTTAAAGTCACAGCTGAATCCCCTTTTGTAAGCCCCAGAGAAGGGCACAGAGACTAACCAGAGATGGAGGCCCACACTGAAAGCTGGAACATGGCTTTGTGGTCAGACAATGCAAACAACACGCTGGCTGCAAAGCCACATGGTCTTGTTTCCTTCATGAATTCTAGCGCGGAACTAAAAGAACAAGTTTTGGAGCTAGCAGTCCCTGGCCCTTGCTCAGCGGTTGGTCTCAGATAAGTTGCTTGGCTTTTCTGAGCCTCTGTTTTCTCACCTATAAAATGAAGCTCATGATGGCACATACCTCCCTGAATTGTAAGGAGGATTATATAAGCCAGAGCACAGAAAGCATGAAGCATGATGCCCGGCACACAACAAGGACTCAATAGATATCAGCCATGAGGAGGAGGAGGAGGAGGAGGAGGAGGAGGAGAAGAAGGAAACAAGTCTACAGTCCAGAGTCAAAGCCAGGGAGCTCAATGCAGTGAGAGCAACTGGCCTTGGAGTCGGGGGCAGCCCCAGCCCCAGCCCAGACTCCAATTCCCTGGTGACTTTAAGCAAGTCAGTTTCTCTGAGTTCCGGTGTCCTCATCTGTACAATGAGTGGGATAAGCTACATGATTTCTTTTTTTTTTTTTCCTTTTTGTCTTTTTTTGTGACCGGCAACGGATCGCAACCCTCAGTGTCGCGCCCGTACCAGACCAGGACCGGCAACGGGATCGCAACCCTCGGTGTCGCCCCCGCACCTTGCTCAGCCAGTGAGCGGCAGGTTTGTATGTGGGATCCGAACCCCCGCCGCGCTCCCAAGCGGCGCACTGTAGCAGTGCGCCACCGGGCCAGCCCTAAGCTACATGATTTCTAAGGCTCCTTCCAGTTCCAATGGTAGGTGAAAGGAACATTTGCTCTGGGGGATGTACCTTTAACTGCCCACGTGGCTGCAGGACCCTGTGAAGGACAGCCCAGAATGCCTCCACCTGCAGTGCCCAAGCTCCCAGAGAAGGGGGCACCCTCCCTATGCATTGCCTAGCCAGGGGTTCAGCAGAGGGTGTCAGATCCAGGAGGCACAGCTGAGACTCCAGGACAGCCATCTAGGACTTTTAATCGTCGGCACCTGGACTCCTAAGTTTTCAGAGCCAACCACAGCCCCCACCCCAGGTGCCCTGCCTGCCCCCGCTTCTTCCAGAACATGAGTTAGGACTTTCAAAGGAGAATGTGCTTGACCTCAGAAAGCTCAAGCTGAAAGCCCCATGCTGCAGTCTCTTGGCAGTTTACCACCATTCTCACCTCAATCCAATCCCCAAGGCCACAGCCTCAGGCCCAGAGGGAAGGTGGCAGCTGCCACATCCTGCCTCATGATCATCATCATGAACATGTATTGGGCATTTGTAATGCACCAGGTCCTATGCTAACCATGTCACTTGAATCAACTCCCTTACTCCTCACAAGAGCACATGTAAAATGTGCTAGTATTTTACCATCTTCACAGGTCAGGATGTCTGTAAGTCTGGAGATTGAGTCACTTGCACAAGGTCATCTGGAAAATGGGGAACTGAGATTTGAATGTAGGTCAGTCTTACTCTAGAATGCTAGAGAGACTCTTGCAACTCTGCACCTCCATGAATATCATCTCCTGTTAAGTGGTGTCCTCTTCCAACATTTATCTTTGTTTGCTCAAAGAATGAATGAATGAATGAATGAATGAGTGAGTGAGTGAGTGAGTGAATGGATTCAGCCCTACAAGTGTATGAGTGGCCTCCACAGAAAGGGTACTGGCCAGGAGTCTGACATTTACCCCAACACAACCCAAGCTTCCAATGCCTGGGGGGAATTCCACTGACCCCTCTACCCCCTTGCTCCCTGGCTAGGGTGTAGCCAGGCCCCAGAACTCACATGGGCTTGGTGAAGAGTCCTGTCACCTTCTTGCAGCTCTTATTGTCTCCCCCACACACCCCACATTTGTCGAACTTCTTCTTGGAGCCCAGGTTCCCGTCACAGCCAGCCTTGATGCACTTGCCTTGGACACAGACCGAGGTGGAGTCAGGAGTACACAGTGTACCATCCACCACCTGCAGCAACCCCAGGACAAGGAGAGGATGAGAGAGGAAGCTCAGCCGGATGCTCTCTGAAGACCCTGCACCCACTCCTGGTCTGCCGCCTGGCTCGCTCACCTTGGGTGCCAGCACGTAGAAGTAACCGGTGCCATTGGCTCGGCAGATGAGCTTGCACTTGTCCCGGGGAGACACGCCTGAGTACTTGGGCACCCACGCCACAGCCAAGGTGAGCCGGTTGGTACTGTGGTTGTAGCCATTGTAAGCTTCACACTGCTCCTCCCGGAAGCTCTTGCCAGAAGCTGGCAAGGAGAAAGCACATGAAGGAAGCTAAAAGGAGGGGCAGGGTTGGGGGGCAAAGGGCAGCATCCCTGCCAAGGGTCCCCAGCCTCCCTTGTTCTCAACAGCCCTTTCTGCCCTCGGCAGTATGATGCTTATCACTGAAGGTACTTTCATCCCTTCTCAAAGGACTAAAGCAGGCTGGGGCCAAAGGATCCTGGGCACATATGGTAATGTATCCCCTGAGTAATCGAGCCTTAAACCCACTCTCTAACAGGTGTCCTAAACATGTCTTGTGCTATGGAAACCTTCAGCAGTCTACCGAACCTATTTTCAGAATAATGTTATAAAATGCATAAAATAAATTAAATAGATTTACAAAGAATACCGATTATATTGATATACAACCATCAGTACGTTTTGAAACATATTTGTGATATATGTGCCTCTTTGTTAATGCACTAAATAACAAGATTCAGTAATGAATCTCATAACTCCTGTACTCTTGAAGTAGGGACAAGCATATGGCATTTTGAGAATTCTGCAGCTATTGAAGTGTCATATGAAAATATCTGTGATTTCTACCAGTGACAAAGGCACAGGTATTTCCATTGCTATAGTTTGCTGCCTAATTGAAGGAAATACTAAATTTTAGGTAGAAACGTTAGTGAAAATAGAGATGTAATTTTTTCCCCCACCAAGTTCACAGGCCCCGGGTTCCTGCTTAGGAAGATGCGCTTGTCGGGACTGAAGTAAGCGGACTTCTAGGGTCTCATTCCCGTAAGCCTTTTAGTGCCCATTCTGAGCAGCCGGAAGAAAAGATGAGTGGACAGAGGGATGATCCCTAGAGGAATTGGCACCTCTCCACTTCCAAGCTTTGTCCTGGGGGTTAGAATCTTGAAGACTGTAGTCCCCTTGCAGCCATGGTTAGCCAGAGTTGGGGAGAGGGGTGAGCTCCAGCCTCACCTCCCCCGGGCCCAGGCCACTGCTGCCCCCCGCCTCACCTGAGCTGGGGCAGGGCTCCAGGCTGCAAGACCGGTACTTCACCCTCACTCCCTCGCAGTACTTGCCACCGTTGGCAGGGGTGGGGTTGCTGCACTGCCTGCGGGCTAGCTGCACACCCCCGCCACAGGTGCGCGAGCAGGGGCCGTAGGGCTCCCATTTGGCCCAGGAGCCGTCCACCTGTGGGGAAGAGCCTGTTATACACCTGAAGGGCCCAGGTGCCACACCTGCTCCTTAGACTATAAGAAGCTACTGGGACAGCCTCCAAGTTCCCATTCCACCTCACTGGAAGAAAACCCACTTATATTATGAGGGGAAAATGACAAGCAAACCATCAGTGTGCACAGGGCCACACAACACTTCAACCAGTTAATTAGCAAATACCACCTGCTCCCAGGCTGTGGAGCAGGGCAGACACGTCTTACGATCGCCTCCACCCACCACGCGAGTGGGCTTGAGCAATTGGCAAAACTTCCTCAGGCTTCAGGAGCTCCACCTGCAAAAACAGGGCCACTACTACCCGGGTCTGAGGTCAGATGGAAGATTTAAATGACATATGAAAATTCCTAGCAACGGTCTTGCCCCTATGCAAGAGTTCAAAGTTTCCCCTTATCTATTGTTAGTGTATTCACAGGAGTCTCTAAATCCAAGGCACTGCCAGCCCCCAGCCTTGCAGTAAACAATGTCGCCATGGATGTTAAATATTTTTATTTGTAAATGTTGTATAATTCACTTTTCAACAAACCAAACTGATCTTAACCTCAATCAGAAGCTGCATTTGAGAAAGTTTCATGATAAGCAGGTCTAATGTTTGTGCTCAGAGGAGATATGGATAAGAGACTATTAAGCAATCCTAAAACTTTCTATGGCTTTGAGGTGGATTTTGTTTTGTTTTTAAGAGAGTAGAGAAAGGATAGAAAGTTTATAGTCTTCATTATGTTTTCCTTAGGATGACAATAAAATGGGGTTTTGCCCCCCCGAACACACCCCGGTTGAGCAATAGAGGAGGCAGCCCAGTTGTCCACGCCTGGGGTTAATCCTCTGTCACAGATCATCCATAAAGTGACTAACACACATGGAGCTAACTGGGAACTGGCTGCACATAACATAAATACTTTAACTATGTATATATTCAGGATATTTATTCTTTCTGTCCTTCTGTCAGATAGTTCTTATTTCATAGTGTCAACAGGTCTGTTTTATCCTGTTTTTGTTTTGTTTTTTTAAGCACTTTCCTTAACCCTGCTTTCTTCTCCAACTAGTGCCCCACCTCATTCTGTCCTTTCACTTCCTGGAGAGCCACCTACAGGTGTTCTTTCCACAACCTCACTCCTCCGTGCCTTGTGACATGGGTTTTGTCCCCATCACACCGTGGAAGCTGCTCTCTCAAAAGTCAGCAGGGGCCATATAAAGACCAGAAGAGTCTGTACCCTGGCCTTATCATCTCTAATTTTCCTTCAGTGCTTAACACTGTTCCTTTGGCTTCTGAGACAATGCTATTTGTTTTTCACCTGGTATCATTTTTTCCCACTCATTTGTGCAAAACACATTCATTGTGCTCCTGCCAAGTGCCATTCATACATTCATTCACCAAATATTTGTTGAGATCCTGCTACACGCCTGACACCAAGTGCAGCAAGTTCGCAAAACACATTCATTGTGCTCCTGCCAAGTGCCATTCATTCATTCATTCACCAAATATTTGTTGAGATCCTGCTACACGCCTGACACCAAGTGCAGCAAGTTTCTGCCCTCAAAGTGATGACATCCTAGTGGGGGAAGCCAGAAAATAAAAATAGACCAGTGCACGTAGATTGTCAGATGAGATTAAAAGCAGGAGGGGATGAGGGAGATGGGAAGCACTTCATGAGCTGGGCTGCTCTGTATCATGGGAGCCAGGGAGGCCTCACTTGGTCAGAGGCCTGAAGGAAGTATGGGTGTGAGCTATACAGATATTAGGATTAAAAGCAGGAGGGGATGAGGGAGATGGGGAGCACTTCGTGAGCTGGGCTGCTCTGTATCATGGGAGTCAGGGAGGCCTCACTTGGTCAGAGGCCTGAAGGAAGTATGGGTGTGAGCTATACAGATATTAGGGAACGAGCATTCCAAGCTGAGGGAGCAGATGCAAAGGCCCTGAGGAAGGATGCACCTGGAGCACTCCAGCATCCCTGAAGCAGAGCAAGCAAGAGGAGAGAAGCAGGAGATGACGGCAGAGACAAGACTGCTCATTCTGAGCCAGGCGTAAAGCCCCTGAAAGGCTCCAAGCAGAGCACTGACATAACCTAACTTACATTTTAAAAGGATCCCTCTGGCTGCTATGTTGGGAATAGTCTATGAGGAGTAAGATCAGAAGCAGGGAGACCAGTTAGGGAGTGATTGCAATAAAACAAGAGAGAGGGCATGGGGGTCAAACCAGGGTGATAGAAGGTGAAGTGATGAGAAATGGTCACATGCTGGATCTATCTTGAAGCAACTCAGAGGTGGAGTTGCTAAAGAAGGTTTGAGAAAAAATTGGCAAAGGAGACTGAGAGGGGCAGCCAGTCAGGGAGGAGGAGAACCGAGAGACAGCGGGGACTGTCCGTGGGGGAGAGAGCGGTGGCTGCACCAAGTGCTGCCAACAGGTCAGGCCATGTAAGCGACAGTAATCCGTCACCCTCACTAGCCGTGTGGAGGCCATGTGCTGGCCTTCAGAGGATTTGTTTTGGAGCAATGGTGGGAGTGAAAGCCTGATTGGAGTGGACTCTGGAGAAGAATGGGGGGAGACAGGGATCGGAGAGAGGAAGTTCATACAACTCTTTCAAGGAACTTTGCTGCAAAAGGAGTTGAAGAAACAGACCACAATTTATGGAGAGGAAGTAGGATCCTGAGAAGTTCTGTTTAGGATGGGAGAAATGACAGCATGCTTGCATCCCAAAAGGAATGATCCAACTCAAGAGAGGGAAAAGGGGGTGCCACGGGAGAGACAGAAGTGATACACGACGTCCTTGAGTAGACAGGGGACAGAGTCCAGCGGGAAGCACCATGTGGCCTCAGACAAGAGCTGGGCAGTCTGCCACTGTAAAGGGGAGGGTGGGGAATGCAGGCACTGAAGCCAGCCGGACGGTGGACGTAGTGGTGGGAGCTGCTGGAAATTTTCCTCTGGTTACTTGGTTGCTTCTTTTTTCTTATTGAAACCAGAGAAAAAGGAAAATGAGGAAGAAAGAATTGGTTGTGGGAGGAGAGGGGAGAAGGAGTGAGGTATTAGTTTAGGAGGCTGGGAGAGTGACGGAACCAGGGAAGTGACATATGTGACTCCCGGGCAGCACTGTGGGCCACCCGAGTTCCCAGGTCATGAATTTAAGCTGAGACCAGTGAGCACAGCTGCACATTCTCCAGCCACATTCACCTGGGCAGGCACACCTGAGCAGGTGAGAGAGCTGGATTCAGCCAAGGCGGTGGCTTATTCCAGGCAAGTGTGATGAAGAGAGACGGGCAAGGGGGTCGACAGTACATGTGAAGGGGTGATTTTAACAATGGACCCCAGAACCTCCATAAGGAGGGGCAAGGGCACAGGAGGAGTGAGGGGTGATGGAAAGGTGGTCGTGCCCATAGGGTGCAGGTCCAGGTGGGATTGAGGAAGTGCTGGGATCCAAAAATTAGAGGAAGTGAGCTGGGAAGACAGGGCCCTGCTGGACACAGAGAGCGTGAGACCGTGAACTAACTTTCTCCGTCTTAAAGCCCTTAACACTTGTTCTGTGCTTTGTGTCAACCCTGCCCACAAAAGCCACACAGTCACTAGGGGTAAGGTAGTTAGAACAATAGGTGGGAACAGCTTGATGACTATGAAAAAGGCACTTAATGATTAAGTACTGGTGTGGCAAGAGCCGGTCCAGCTACCTGCATCACAGGACCACCAAAGATAAAAGCCATTGTCATAGGACATTTGGTATTAGTGACGTTAGTTTGTTTCTTACTTAGTAATTGCTTCTTGGCTTTTTTCCACTGCTTTGTGTGAACTGCCCATATAAACTTGGGCTCAACCAGGAGGCACAGAGAAACTTTGCATATGCCTCTGGGTCGATGCCCACCCAATCCATCACCCTGTAAATAAGTTACCCTCTTAATTAAAAATGATTTGCTTTCATGGAACTGCCTGCCTCATTTTTCGGTCTTGAGACACCTCCTCAGTTTGGTGGTCAATCTGCCTTTGCTCCACCTTCAGACAGTGGGATTCTTACTGAGCTCACTGGGAGCTACGGCGATTTGTAAGATAAGTTTTGTGTTTTGACCTTGGCCCATGAGGGCAGGGTTTCAAAACAAGGCGGTGAAGCGACTGTTCAGAGAAGAAGTTGAGGATATAGTGGATTTTGCTGATGACAGACTGAGAATTCCAGAAAGTATGGGAAAGATTGTGCTTCTCGGACCACATTTCCTGTGCCCAGTTGGTGAAGCGACTGTTCAGAGAAGAAGTTGAGGATATAGTGGATTTTGCTGATGACAGGCTGAGAATTCCAGAAAGTATGGGAAAGATTGTGCTTCTCGGACCACATTTCCTGTGCCCAGTTTCCTCTTGACTAGTCTCTTCATCCTCTAGACTTATCTGCCCAAGGCAAGGAGCTGGCCATGACCCACCTGGCCTCAGTGTCTTCTGGTCCAAACCCATCAGCCTGGCAGTGGAGACGTTTTGACAGAGCCCTCATCTGCCCAGACCCACCCAGAACTGCCCCACCTGCCCCTCATCCCACCTCTGCCTGTTGAGATCCTACTCACCCCTCCAGGCTCTCTCCAAATCTGACCTCCTCCTCAAAGTCTTTTCAGGCCTCTCTAATCATCATTAATCTCTTGTCCCCTGTTCTCCCGTGACACATTTTTATGCTTCCGTCATAACACATAACATGCACCTCTCTGTGCCTTGTGTTAATTACCTTCAGTTACTATAGTTATAGTTCCATTCTAGACTGGAAGTTCTCTGAGGCACGGTCTACATTTTATTTTTTGTCTGACCACCATAGTGTCTTACACAGCTCCCTGAACATGGTGGGTTTTTGCCTAATAAATGGTTGAATCCCAGAACACAGAAAAAGATTTTAAATAATTCTGTACCACACCCATCTCAGAGCAATTGATAAGACGCTTGGTGGAAGCTTTTTTATAATATCCCTCTGAACCAAGTCCTCCCTCTGCTGGGGACGTGGGTGAGAAAGGGAAATCATTTCCAGGATCAAGGAAGAAGATAGACTTCTTATTCCTGCCTAGAAAAGTACAAATCCCTTTACTACCCCAAATCAAGACCTGAAGTATATAAAGTTGTTATTATACACAGAGAATATTTGGGGTTCTGAATTTGTGCTGTTTTGATTGCTATTCCTATTTATCAGGGACCAAAAAAAACTTTGTTCCATTATGTTTCAGCTTAAAAAAAAAAAAAAAAAAACAATAATCCTAACAGGAACTGACGCTTGGTTCAAGATGCAGCAGAGCACTGATGTTTGCCCAGAGTTCTGTTTCATTCCTGTTCTGAGCCTTGCTCATCTGCGTGGTCCCCAGCACCCTTGTATGGAGCATACTCAGAAAGAGTTGACGAGGGAAGGAAGAAAGGAGCCACAGTGAGCGAGCCACTCCTAAGGTCAAGTGTTACGCTTTTCGTCCAGAGCTCCTCCCAGGTAGGATGAAGCTGAGCCCTCACCTCCTGCTGAAGGCTCCGCCCAGGTGGGATGAAGCTGAGCCCAATCCCTTTACTACCCCAAATCAAGACCTGAAGAATATAAAGTTGTTATTATACAAAGAGAATATTTGGGGTTCTGAATTTGTGCTGTTTTGATTGCTATTCCTATTTATCAGGGACCAAAAAAAACTTTGTTCCATTATGTTTCAGCTTAAAAAAAAAAAACAAAAAAACAATAATCCTAACAGGAACTGACGCTTGGTTCAAGATGCAGCAGAGCACTGATGCTTGCCCAGAGTTCTGTTTCATTCCTGTTCTGAGCCTTGCTCATCTGCGTGGTCCCCAGCACCCTTGTATGGAGCATACTAAGAAAGAGTTGACTAGGGAAGGAAGAAAGGAGCCACAGTGAGCGAGCCACTCCTAAGGTCAAGTGTCAGGCTTTTCGTCCAGAGCTCCTCCCAAGTAGGATGAAGCTGAGCCCTCACCTCCTGCTGAAGCCTTTTTCCCAGGTGTGTAAGGCCTCACCNGGAAATCATTTCCAGGATCAAGGAAGAAGATAGACTTCTTATTCCTGCCTAGAAAAGTACAAATCCCTTTACTACCCCAAATCAAGACCTGAAGAATATAAAGTTGTTATTATACAAAGAGAATATTTGGGGTTCTGAATTTGTGCTGTTTTGATTGCTATTCCTATTTATCAGGGACCAAAAAAAACTTTGTTCCATTATGTTTCAGCTTAAAAAAAAAAAACAAAAAAACAATAATCCTAACAGGAACTGACGCTTGGTTCAAGATGCAGCAGAGCACTGATGCTTGCCCAGAGTTCTGTTTCATTCCTGTTCTGAGCCTTGCTCATCTGCGTGGTCCCCAGCACCCTTGTATGGAGCATACTAAGAAAGAGTTGACTAGGGAAGGAAGAAAGGAGCCACAGTGAGCGAGCCACTCCTAAGGTCAAGTGTCAGGCTTTTCGTCCAGAGCTCCTCCCAAGTAGGATGAAGCTGAGCCCTCACCTCCTGCTGAAGCCTTTTTCCCAGGTGTGTAAGGCCTCACCAGGTTCTCTGCCCTACCATAGCTTTTCTCTCCAGTCTCAGAGTCAAGAAGCGGATAAGACCATGGACAGGGAAATCGAGGAACAGAGCAGCAGTGTGCTATAGATATGGTCACACAGCCAGTCTGTGATGGCACAGGTCCCCAGTGGTGACCAAGAGCAGTGGAGACCCCTGGGTCTCCCCTCCTCCCCTAGCAGCCCACATCGCACAGGCTCAGCACTCACCTTGTACTTGTTGAGGTTGTGCCTCTCCACACAGGCCCCCTTGAGGCAGAACTTGCCCTCGCCACAGCTGGTGCCATCTGCCCAGGGGAAGTGGCGGGTCTGGCACACCATCTGCCCCTTGGCCTTGCCGGTGCACCACAGCTTGGTGCAATACTGCATGTAAGGACAGGGCTTAGAGCCCACGCCAAAGGCCAGTTCACACTGCTGGCTCAGGGTGTAGCTGGTGCCCGGCAGGTCCTCAGGCAGGGAGATGGGCTTGCTGGGCTGGTCCAGGAGGCAGTCACCTACAGAGAGCCAAGGGCATTCGTTAGGACGATCTGGGGGAGGTGAGGCTTGGCTAGCCTAGAATCTAAATGGCGGGGAGAGAATGAACCAAGGGGTGACTGGTATGGACCAATGACAGAGCCCAATTCTTTGGGGTCATCACACCTTAGGTACAGAAGTCCGTCCAGAAAGGTGGTGAGCACCACCACCAGTAACAGCAGCAAAGCCACCTGGCTTACCGTGCCCACTGTCCAGGAAGTCAGTGATGATGGCAGCGCTGCAGGCTGACCAGGGGTTGGCACGGTCAATCTGGATGAGCGTCGGGGACATCATGTGGTTGGCTTGGAGCTTTCCAAACACCTCCTCACATACCTTCACATTGTCATGGGGCATGTTGAACACGTGGCCTGTGGGGTGAGGAAGAGGGCTCAGAGGGCAGACAAGGCATACAGGGTGGAGGGAAGAATGGGGGGTGCTAGAGAGCTGTGTCAACGGTCTCCAGGCTGGTCATTTCCCCTATGCATAGATTACTTTGCAAATGTCCTCAAGATCATGCTCTGTGTTTTCTGTCCCCTCCATCAGGCTGTGGGCTCAGTGAGGACAGAAGGGTGCCCCTTGTCTTTAACACTTTCTCCCCTTAGTGCCTAAGTGCTGAGATTCTTGGCAGAGGGTCTCAGACCATATCACTGGCCAACCGGGCTGGTGTAATCAGAAAAAATAAAACAAAGCCACTGCCAAGACAGACTCTGCCCTACAAAAGGGTCCCTAAAGCTTCAGAACACAAGAGAGCAAAGACAAATGTTTCCCCAACCCCCAGGGCACCCAGCGCAAACCCAGCAAGACCCCAGAGGGGAGCCCTCCTCCCCTCTGCCCACAAGCCCCCTCTAGCCTTACCCAGCTCATGGGCGGTGGTGAAGGCTGATGGGAGTCCATCATCCTCGATGACAGAGCAGCTCCTCTTGGGGTCGCACATAGTGCCCACATCAGCCATGCCCAGGGTGTCGCAGGTGTTGGCACCGCACAGGTCCTGCCGGGTGGGGGAGAAGCAGAAGCCAACCTGAAGTTAGAGACAGTGATAGAGGAACCTGAAGGGAAGAGAGGGCATCCCACTGGACATACCAACCCTAACCAGGCCCAGCACCTTCTAGCCAGGCCCTTTATCCTAATACATATGCATGAAATCCACCCCGGCTGAGGGAGGAGGCTGCCGGAAGAAAGTGCTGTGGATCACCGAGAAAATTCTGCCCAAATCCTACCATAGGAGGTCCTATGGGAGGAAATTAAGAGGTACAAAATTAAACTACAAGGGCCACTACTTTATACAGAGACAGCCTTCCAGACCATAAACACGGTGCTCCCACAGCCGGGTGAGTTTCTGGTCGTGGCTCACTGAGGCAGGTGGCGGGGATGGGGGAGGGGGAGGCAACCATGTTCCCCACCCAGAGTGGGCTTTGCATGGCCTCAGTCCCTGCTGGGCTGCCTTTAGGACAACCATGAATTAAGTTCCAATTCCCAGCCAAAGGGACACCAGCCAAGGGCCTGCCCATGCCAGAGACTTGGCTTCCTTGGGCTGGGAGAGCAGAGTGACGTGGACACAAGCCACCATCTAGACACAGTTCAAGTGGCTACAGAAGCCCAAGGGGGCCACGGGCTCAATGGCTGCTAGGAAGAAAGGACAAATTAAATAGATCGTCTCCTAAGTGGGAAGGTCCCTCTTTTTGTACGGAACCTTAACTTGCTGCAGAAGCTGGGGCTTCCAGCAGGAAATCCTGATAGGAGTTGTTTCCAGAAGGTGCAGAAGGGCAAAATGGGGCTGCTGGGGTGGATGTCTCAAAGAACTTACTGAGTATTAGAGGCCAGTGACCCATCTGGATACCCCAAGAACCCAGGGGTTGGACATAGGATAGGAGATTGTGCACACTCTGTTCCTCTAGAGCAGACACGTGTTAATCAGTGAGGCTAAGATTCTCTTCATTACATTGCTGCCTTTAATGCATCAGACATTCTACAGTTTACAAGAAACAATTATGTGCATCCCCTCATTAAATCCTCACAAAAGTGTTAGGCAGCAGATATATCTATTTGTCAAAAGGTGGAAACTGGCCGGCCCGGTGACGCACTGCTACAGTGCGCCGCTTGGGAGCGCGGTGGTGCTCCCGCAGACGGTTCAGATCCCACATACAGACCGGTTCCCGCTCACTGGCTGAGCGAGGGGCGGGCGCAGCACCAAGGGTTGCGATCCCGTTGCCGGTCCCGGTCTGGGAAACTGAGGCTCACGAGCATAGCTAATCGCAGCCGTTGTTTATTAAATGCCGACACCATGCATGAATTTTGCATGCATGACTCCATCTAAGCCTCACAACATCTAACCCATATAAAGACTGTTATCATCACCTTCCATAGACAAGAGAGCTAAAGCTCAGAGAGGTTCAAGTCACGGAGTAGAAACATGCACTGAGTTCTGTGTGATGGGCACTCAGTACTCTTTCCACCATGTCACAGCCAGTCGCCCAGCAACTGTACAGAAAGAGCTGTGTCCTGTTCCTGTGGGAGCCAGAGGGTTCACATAAACACACACACAGAGCTGCTCTTGATCTTGTTTCTCCCTAGGGCTGTGCATGTACGCGCATGTGTGGGTGTGTGGGTGTGCACGTGCCCGCATGCACATGCTGGCATGGGCGGAAGATGGGCATCAGCAGAGTTAGTGGGGCCAGAGGGCATGGGAGGAGAAGTGGTCATAGTACAGAAAATCAGCACAATTTAATCCAAAGCACTCAGAAGTTTACCACCTGAGCAGTCAAACTTGGCTTCCCACGGTCAGGTGACAGTCACACCTCTAATGAGTTAACAGTTATTCTTGCCAGAGAACCACAGGGGTGAACAGCCTGGACCCAGAGTGTGCTGGAGTCCGCGATGGGCTCTATGCATGCCCAACCTTTCTCTACTGCCTGTGCTGGCACAGTGTCCTTCTTCCACTTCTGAG